TTGATAAATGTATTTTATACAATTATTCAGGGTCTAAAATAACGATATTTGATAGTTCTTTTGACAAAATATATTTTAAATTATTGTATTTTATGTTACATAGATAAAACTCAATGGTTGAACGAGATATTGAAAAAAATAAGCGAAACTTGGTGAAAATGGGCAAAATCCTAAGTTCGGGGGGATCAAATTGCAAATATTCAGTAGTTGATTCGGACCAAAAGATGAGTTGGAAGATTTTTAGGAGACAATTGGATGTAATTTGAATTCAAAAATGAATGGAATATGATCAAAATATTATGACAATCAATGTCCAATCGCACAAGTTATTTTTTAGATTTTTAGTAAAACATTGAGACCCATTTTTGGCATAGTAAAACTCCGAATTGGGAAACTTCTATCTCTATAAACGTTGTAGCCCTTCAAGTTATCTTTCTAACATATATTGAATCACTTCAATCGGATATTGGGAGAGAAATATATGGCCAAATTACTGACTGCTGTGCAGAGATGAAAAATCCGCTCGCGAAGACAACTTTCCTTATTCGATTTGAACTCTTTTGTAAGTCAATTTGGACATGATTTTTCACCAATTTCGACTCCTACAAATACCTAACGGTAGAATACATATTGGGGGACATCTCATATACCTATTATACTCCAATATTCATCAATTATTATCATCAAAATAGGATAATTCATAGTTTTTGTGAGATGATTGAAAGGGATTTGCAAGAATTCAATCAAGTGAAGATTCAAATCTGATTTTTGGGTAAAGAAGAGAAGGAGCGAGTAGAAATTTATCAATAAACCATTGAAGAGATTCAAGATTTCAATATTCCTCTTCATCTTCTCAATTTATCAAAAATCCGGGTGATGTCATTTCACTTAAATATGATTTCTTGTAATTTCAATATGTTAGGTTAATTTATACATTGCTAGGATGAGATGGACCCTTGTTATGCTATTTTTAGTTTTTAATTAATTATTTTGAATTTAATTTGATTTGATTTGTAGATATTTATTATCGTTTTTTTCAATTGCTTAATCACTAATTGAATTGTTATTGGATTTTATTGTTATCGAGAGAGACAATATGATTTAAACACATTATAATAAACATTGTAAGGTTCGATAGAGGAAAGAGATATACATCTATGCTTTATATGGTTACAATTAGTGTTCTAGTACTCGTTAATGCATTTTTCATCTTAGAATTTTTCATCAAGAGATAGAAAGGTCAC